GTCGGTATAAACTATGGTTCTACCCTCAGATCGAAATTAAATTAACTTCTTTAAATATTCTATTCTATATCTAAAAAGATCTAAAAAAAGTAACAAACAAGAACAAACAAAATATTTTTAAACATAAATAAAAAATTATGTGGCTAATGAACTTGTTTCCGTGTCATATTTTTCACATAGACACACACATAAGAAAATAAAATATCACTGACTCAATACTTACGTCAGTTTCCTTAAAGGTATTAACAAGTTTTCGGTTGCTTCGAAATGTGCTGCCTCTTGTTCCATAAATGTAGTAAAATTATAAATTATTGCCTTTGCTGGGCTATTTAATCGCAGCCCGTTCGTTCCTATCTTTTTAGAAGCCATTTTATAACTATTATTAAGAACTAAACTTAACACACTATAAATAAACCAAACTAAACACTAAATGACTTAATAATTCACTAATTACTACTACCTATATTATACTGAGCACTAATATAAAATAAAATAATAAAATATCCTCGATATTCTCGAAATATAACACGATCAAATCAACAAGTCAAACACTCTCTGCGATACGCAACTACGACACTGGCAAACTGCAAACTGGCCGTTTCTATGGTAACGCTAGTAAACAAGAACCACTGCGCACCGTCGAGTTATGAGTCATATTCCCAAACTAAACTTTGTCGGAGTCTAACGTCATTGAAAATTATGATGATGACGTAAATAATAATTCAAAATGATTGGTATGTTGCAGAAATAATTCTTCAAAGTAGTAATGGAAACACATTACGGAATTGTAGATGATCACATAGTAATAGAACTACCGACAGACATACCAAGAAGTAGTAAACAAAATAACGAAATAAGTGTAATAATAGCTAACAAATAACGACTGCAATGAAAGTGCAGAGAATATGATATTTAGGACACATCGAAGGAATGAAACAAGAAATATGTCAAAAATGGTATTCTTAACTCACCCAATACAAAAGAAAAGCGAAGGTAGGCAAAATGGGGTACAAGAGCATAGTATAAAAGATTGACAAATAAGTAACATTGAGAACTTAAAGTAAAAACTGTTCGGAAACATTGGAAAAGTGGAACAATAAATTTGAATATCAAAAATTAATACTAAATGCATTTGAAACTACTTACCTGTTGCTTCAGCAGTCTTATTTTTTACCATTAGCAGAGTGTCCATTTCACTTTTCATATTTTTAAAATAATTATACACATTAAATATTATTTGACGACCCTGCTCTTTAATAACATTACGTTTTTTTCCGTCCATTTTCAGCAAGATTGTGTGAAAATAAAAGTATATAATATTTGACACACACAACTTGTTCTCAACTGCACTGCTGCGCTACTGAGTATTGGAATGATTTACTGCTAAGGCGTGGCTTAGGTAGAAATCTCAAATTTTGACCATTGCCCAATGCGATAATATGCAAATTAGATGCCTTCCGAATTGACGATTACTCTAACATGATCCTTTTGGGTGGGTTGGGTTTTTTGTAAATATTGTACTCAAGAAAATCTTTATTACGAGATATAGTCATACAGCTTATTGTCAGATTCTGGTTCCAATATAAAAGAGATGTTAGGATGGAGGTTATTAAGATCATCCAAAATCTGTAAAGTGTCATCTTGGGTTCCTTGTATGAGACCTATACAATCATCAACATATCTTGATCAAAAAACTGTTTTGCTGTTGTTCTTAACAAATTTCTGTTCTAAGCTGTCCAAAACATTATCAGCTAGAAAAGGTGATAATGGAGATCCCATTGCTAAACCTGTTGATTGTTTAGATATATATATATATATATATATATATATATATATTACATATTTATAATATATATTATAAATAAAGGATCACTGGAAGAGTGGTGGTTTTTTCGGTCAAAAGGTGGAGAAGAGACAAGGAAGGTGGCTACTTCATGTATTTATTAAAGACGTTTCGCTTTGTAATCAAAAAGCATCATTATTTTATCTAAAAAGAACAATATGAAAAACCAAACATCCATAAAAAAGTCATTATAAGTGTGTTACCTCAAAAAGATATGTAGCAGTCAATGATATTAAATAAGTAATAAAGCTTAAGATGTTGTACATTAAATAGTTATGTTGTATAAACAAATAATTGAAACTAAATAAAGTTTAGAAATTAACTCAAACTTAGAACAGCAAAAGACCATGTGGTTATTGTATATGTAATATAAAAAGTATGTAAAAAAAACTTATGTAAAAAAAACTTATGTAAAAAAAACTGATGTAAAAAACAATTATTTGCCGAGAACTAACAAGATCATAAGATCACACTTCCAACAGTATATTATTAGTTAAATTTAATTTTTACTTTATCTTTTAAGTAACATTATTGAAGTGATTAAGATTTTATTATAGTAATATTAAAAAGTGTAATGAAGTTATCAATAAAATATTAGTTGAATAAATCTATATCAAGTTAAGTAAAGTAAGAAAATTTTATTTTATTTTATTTAAATTTATTTTATAACGAAAATATAAATAGACATACAGCTTAAGGAACAATTTTAAGGTAAACAACACATTAAGCCTAATTCTGCAATATTAATGCATGATGAATTTGGCTCAAGTTCCTAATGTCCGTTATCTTATTAAGAGCGTTAGGGTGTTTGAGTATCGAACACATTTCCAAAAACTGCCATTTTACGAGATTGCGTTAATTCCCAAGAATCTTAACTTGACTAAAGTCCACTTTGTGATTAGTTTTAATAGCATGCTGGGCAAGAGCACAAGTATGCTTAGATAAGTTAATATCACTACGGTGGGTCGTAAGACGCCCTCTCAATGATCTCCCTGTCTGACCGATGTAGCCAGAATCACACTCAGCACAAGGTATGTGATAGATGACATTTACTTGTTCCAAAAGGGACAAGGGTGTTTTTATTGTGAAAACAAATTCCTGACAGAATTGGCATTCTTAACTGCAATTTTAACAGGTACATTATTATGTTTGTACAGTTTAATAAGTTTTTTCGTAACTTGAGGGAAATAAGGTAAAGAGGAGTAATGGGTCCCAAGTACAGAAGTAGGCAGAACAGTGTTAATAATGGAATTATTTGATATTATTCTAAGTTGGTCACTATTGGGTATGTCATTTATTGACATACCCATAGCTTTGTAAATAAAGGTATTTATTAATGAGGGAAGATGGATAGGAATTCTCAATCAATATGTTTCTGAGTAATTGAAAGGATTCCCTTCGATTAACCGGATGTCTCAGTCTATTTAGCCTGCAGCTTAAAGCTTCAATAAGGTTTAATTTATATTTAAAGGGGTGACAAGAATGGTAGTTAAGAAACCTATTAGAGGCTATTGGTTTTATATATAAAAATGGGGTTAAGGTGTTATTTCTAATTTTAATGACACGCATATCTAAGAAGGGAATACTATTGGTGATGGTGTCCACAAGTTCAACAGTGAATTTTAGGTGAGAATCAAACTCATTAAACAAAGAAAAGAAGGCCTGTATCTTGTCTGGGGGTAAGGCTAGTAATAAGTCATCAACGTACCACTTAATAAAAGGGATTTGGAAATCTAAAAGATCCAAACGGTCAGATACTAAATCATCCAGTACAAAATTAACTAGGATGGGATAGATTGAGGAACCCATAGGTGTCCCAAATATTTGTAGATAATATTTGTCATCAAAGACCAAAACATTTGTGTTTAATACTAATTGCAACAGTTCTGCAAATACATCCCAGGATACAGGACAGTTAGGTTGGATGGAGTCCAGTGATTTTTTAGGGAAGTAATGACACTAGAAAGAGGTAAATTAGTGAAAAGAGATACCACATCAAAACTCACTAAACTGTAACCTTGTGGAAGTTTAAAGTTATTAATAAATTCACTAAAGTGAAAAGAATCAATAATATTAAAGTTATTGTTATAATTATTTATAACAAGATTTTGACAAGAATTTTTGAAATATTTATATTTGGTGAATTAATTGAGGAAACAATAGGCCTCATGCTCAATGGAGGCTTATGTATTTTCGGTAGACAATAAAATCTGGGAGCATACCCATCATAATTATGTAAAAATTTAGCAAGAGGTTGATCTACGATCTTTAAGTTTTTTTTTAAATGAGTGATGAATTTATTTCTTTAATTAGTGAATTTAGAACAAGGGTTGGTAGAGAGAAGTTGATAGTATTTATCATCATCTAACAACGATTGACTAAGACTGAGATATTGATCTGTATCCATGAGTACAGTGGCATTCCCTTTATCACTAGTAAGAATGAGAAGATTAGGGTGGGTTTTTAAAAACGATACCGTCTCCCTGTAAATCTTATCTAACTCCGATATGGGTTGTCTAGGGCAATTAGAAAAATTCAACAGAATATTGTTGGATGAAAACCTAAGAGAAAGAAGGTCAGAATTGACCGTATGAGACAAAATATTTTTAACATCTGCTATAATTCTACTAACAGAATAATCTTTGAGGGTTGGCTGTAAGCCAAATTTAGGACCCAAGGATAACAATGGATAACAATAGGATAACAATTGAGAATGTCCTGAGGAACCTCAGTATTAGATAAATTTTTAATCCACTTAGGATTGAATATAATTTTCTTAAATTGAGGGATGTCTAACTTATCAAGTTTTTTACGAAGGTGTGCCATGGAGTTTTGATACACAAAATTAAATTTTTTATGTAAATATTAGTCAAAAGTGTCCAACAAATTGTCAGGAAGGTGATTATCAAGGAAAGCAGTGACATTATTGATTTGAGAAATAATACAGTTAATATCAGTGTAAACCTTAGATATATGCAAATTAAGTAATCGTGCCCTCACCTGTCTGTTCAAAGCCTGGCTTCTGCGGTATAGTGTTCCATTAGTGGAACCTGATGTTGATGAAAGTATGTTGGAAGTGGTGTCTATGATAAATCTTGTGATCTTCATAGTTCTCCTAAACCAAAGAAGAAGAAAAGAGAGGAAAACAGAAACTTACTTGATATTATTACTAGGCCCAAGCGTAGACCGTACTCATATGTCAGCTTCTTTTGTTTTGTAGCATCTTCTCCTATTCGTGGAAGAACGTAGTCGTGATATATAATATATACAGCAGGTATTCCTTGTAGACCATACGATATAAATATAGCAGAGGAATATAAAACTCTGATAGATTGAGCAATTCTAAAATATGTAGATTTTTTTATTATTTCGTCTAACTCAATTAAAAACCAATGTACTTTAAAGGAGAATCAAATAATTGCAAATTAAAATTTATGTATTTACAAATAGCCATTGCAGTTAGATTAGAAAATTACCACCATTATGGCAAAGAGTGTTTGCTAGAGTCCAGATTTCTAAGCATATTGACTAGGTTAAATAATAAAAGCTTTTAATTTGTATAATTTTTTTAATTTTTGTGCTTCTTGGATCCTTCTTATTTATATTCTTATTGTTTTTACGTTTGGCATAATTTTAATATAACGCTATTCTTTAAAACACTATTACAATAGTCTATAAAAACCTGTCAAAAATATTAATTATATGGAGATTTTTCCTAATCTTATTAATTATATCATATCTATGTACCTGTATTTAGATTCTTTCGGGACTTCCCCGTCCGCGTCATTTTGTCTGTTGGTAAAACTCTGTTGAGACTATATATGTTTATATCATCATCATCTTGGTGCTACAGCCTTTAGAGAGCCTCGACCTTCTCAAGCTTTCAACGCCATTCTGTTCTTTCCCTTGCTTGCATTTTCCAGTTGCCGATCTTGGCAACTTCATCTTGTGTTACCCCATGCATCCACCTCAAGTTTGGTCTACCCCGTCTTCTCATACTCACGTATGTCACCAAACGTATGCTTGTAGATATTCAGCAGTTTAAAGTTATATCTACGCCTCCATATTCCGTTCTCACAGACCGCTCCGAATATCTTGTGTAGCACCTTTTTTTTTCAAAAATCGATAGAGCGGATTTATTTGTTTTAGTTCGCGTCCATGCCTCTGATTCATATGTGAGAACGGGGACTATCAGTGTTCTATACAGCCTTATACGAAATTTTTGAGACAGACGTTTGTTAGCTAAGTACTTTGATAGACCATGATAACACCATGTTTGCAATTATTATTCGCCTTTTTATTTCCTTAGATGTGTTATTATTGGGGTTAACCGATGTTCCTAGATAGATGAACTCTTTGACTGCTTCAAAGTTTTGGTCACTGATGATTAAATCTGCGTCAACATTTCCAGCTCTTGTGTTTATGTTAGTCGCCATGAATTCGGTTTTATTTTGATTATATGTAAACCTATTCGTTCTACTGCTGCTACTAGCTCGGTTAGGATTTCCGCAGTTCTCGCCCTGGTTCTTGTTATAATGTTCACGTAATCTGCAAATGCTAGAATTTGGGCTTATCTATTAAATATTGTTCCCCTGCTATCTAAATTAGCGTCTTGTACAACTTTTTCTAAGGCGACATTAAAAAGCTGACACGCCAGCGCATCTCCCTGCTAGGGTGGGCCGACAAATTTTTTTCTGGAAAGTAACAACGCCTGTGGTCAAAAAAGTTGAGTTATATCATAACACAAATTTTAAGTCCAAAATGAGTAGCTAAAAATATTTTTTTCCACTGCTACAAAGACTTTATATTTTTTTAATATAAAAGGTCATTGTGGCAGTGGAAAAAATAAAAAATAATAATTATTTCAAAAGCAGATCTTCATATTTTTTTATTATATAATTTTTGAAACATCAGGGTTATTTATTTTGTAACTTAAAAAAATTGAAATAAAATCTGTATTGTTCTGGCGGTTTGATGCATACTTTATAACGTATAGTAAACTTTATTTGCGTATTTTTCTACTAACTAATAAGTAGAGAAAAAATTATTTTAGGAACCTACTTCAAAGAGTGTGCCGAAATTCCCCAATAACAATAAAGTAGACGTTAGTCTTAGTACAGTATATAGAGGTTCCACAGTAGAACCACTCTCGGAAAAATTGGAAGTAAAGTCTGTCAACGCGCAGGGCGACTGCGCTTATTTCTTAGTCGCTCGAGAATCATTCTTCTATTGCTAGTCGCGTAGAAACGTAAGGGTGAACAGTGCCGTATTTTGGTTAAATTGAGTTAGTGTGAATAATAATTGTTAGAATTGTGAAGTACATATTGTGTGAACATGAGTAAAAGTCGAAGTGGTATTAGTCGGTGTTCAGCGAAAATGTGTAAGAACAATTCAAAAAATTGTAACTACAGTTTTTTCCGATTTCCCAAGGAAGCTATTAGGTACGTATATAATTTTAAATTTGCTTATTTAACCACCTTAACAGACTAGCATCAATTATTATTGGAAATAGTAAAATGTTAGGTGCAGTTTTTTTAAATACTTCAAATACAATAATTATATTTACAAAGAGGAAAAATTTTCTAAAGATATGTTGATATATATATATATATATATATATATATATATATATATATATATATATATATATATATATTATATGTTTATATATAAACTCGGGTTCAAAACGTCCTCCGACGTTGTCCGATGCCTTGTTGCCAATATCTTCTATAATTGCAATTTTCATCTTCTAATCCTCGTACACTCATTGATCGTCTTACTCTTTGTATCCACGCCATTCTTGCCCTTCTTCTTTATCTGTTGTCTGTAGGTATCCATTTCATAATTTTCTTTTGCAGTCTCTCCTCCCCCATTCTCTGAACATGTCCGTACCACGTTAATTGTTTATTCTCAATGCATATATGACCGTTTCCTGTAATTTCATTCTTCGCTTTACTTACTCATTTCTAACCCGGTCCAATCTCGATGTTCTACTGGTGTTTCTTTATTCTCCATGTTTCGAATCCGTATACCAATGTGTTCTTAATCATGGTGTTGTATATTCTCATTTTTCTTTGTTTCCCTATATCGGTACTCCACAAAACTCAGTTCAATGATGATTTAATTATCATTCTTTCTTTATTTATTCTGCTCTTAATTTTTGCATCTTCCGTATCTTCTTTGTTGAAATGAATTCCCAAATACTTATATTTCTCACAGCTAGTTATTTTCTGATTATTATCCAATATCATACTAGTTGAATCTTCACCTAGGCATAAATATTGTGTGTTTTCTACATTCATATATAATATTATATTTATGAAAGTTAATAATAGCCGGCAAATTTAGTGTTGTCTAAATAGTGAGTAAATTTAATTTATTTTCAGAGCACGGAATTGGGCAATGTTGTGCCAGAGAGAAGATTTGTTGAAGAAAACTAACTTAAATTTGAATAGATTATGCAGTGTGCATTTTGAAACTACTATGTTTTCAAATAAAACTCGGAACAGGTTATGCAATATTATTAGAGATATTTAATGTACAATATGACACTTTCTTCATATAAGACAACCTATAAACTTCTGTTGTAGATGATGAAAATAGTTTTGATCCAGTAAATGAGGAACAACGGGAAGAATTAGCTACCGTACCGCTAGGTGGAGAGGACAGCGAAGTTGTTCTACAAAATAATCAAACAACTCAAACTTTGGAAAAAGTATCTACCTATAGCCCTAAAAAAACCAGCTACGAAAAACTATAAAACAACTGCAAAACAAGAATTTTCGATTAAAACAAAAATTGCAAAAACTACAAGATTCTCGAAAACCCGATTATCTTAAAAACGTCACATTGGATAATTATAAATCACTAACCGATAAATTTTGTTCTGCCAATAAAAATTTAGCAAATTTTATTAATATTCAAATTGAACAAAATCTGAAAAAAAAGAACGGTCGGAGATATTCAAACGAATACAAAAACTTTTGTTTACAACTATATTTTAACGGTCCAAAACTGTATAAGAAAAAATTAGTTAAAGAATTTTGCTTGCCCAGTGTTACAACATTACACAAATTTGTCACACATATATCTGTCAAACCTGGAATAAATGATTTCATTTTTGATATACTTAAAAAAAATGAATAATGTTTCTGACCTTGATAAATTATGTATCCTTTGTTTTGGCGAAATGAGTATTAAGGCACATTTATTTTATAGTATTAAAAAAGATAGGATAATAGGTTTTGAAGACTTTGGAGACGAAAATACTAATTTTAAACCACCATTATCCGCAACAGTAATAATGATAAGAGGCGTTAAAACCAACTGGAAGCAACCAATAGCTTAATACCTGGTTAATTCAACTTGCCCTGCGGAAAAGCTACAAAATATAATTTTAGATATTATTACAAAATTACAAAATATTTCTTTAAAAGTGGTAGGAGTAGTATGTGATATGGGTTCTAATAATCTTAAACTTTCAAATTTGTGTGATATTATTTATGTGATATGTTTTGTATTATTTATTAAATGTTGATAATTATTTTAGGGTTTTGTATTTCAAAATAATCACTGTATGACAGACAACTGTCAATTTTGAAATCCGTTAGTATCATGTCTAATTGACAAATCTTTTACGTATTTGGTTCATATAGTGGTGTACGTGAGTTCGAATCCCAATATCAATTTTATTTTTTTATTTTTGAAATATTTAAAAACCTCACGTTAATGTTATTAAATATATGTAATATACACAAAAATGCTAAATTTTAAAATACAATAAAAAATTTACAACATAATCCGAGTTGTTGGTTTTTTATTTTTATCTTCGTAAAGTAAGTTATGTATATTGGCAGTTTTAAATACTTATGAATATTGCATTTTAATTTGTATTGTATTATTTTATTGCATAATGTTGCAGTGTATTGTAATTTTTATATTAATAACAAAATAAACAATGAATTTTACTGCAAGTATATGTAAAAATTTTTTTTTGCATTCAACTCCTTTTATACATATATGAAAATAAAAATATATATTTTCATTAAAATATTGATACAATCTTTGGTACAATATTAATCCAATCCCTATAGCATTAAATATGAAATATTGTGCAGATTGACTCACATATAAATTTGTAACGGCGAAAGCGTGTACAGAAGTACACTTCTAGAACTTCTACCGGCAGTCCCACTGGACTGCCACACCCGTTTTTTTTCAAGTTAAATTGTGGCTTATATTATTAGAATAGTTGATATTCGATTAAATTATTAAAAAATTATTGAAATTGTTAAAAATAAGAAAGACGAAGAGAATTTTTTTTATTTAAATTTGTCGGTAAA